CTTAGTATGCGGAGTAAGTGGGGAGCTGGAAGATGAGAACTGGCGACTTGGTAGTACAACTTTAGTACGCGGAGTATCTGGGGAGCTGGAAGCTGAGAACTGGCGACTTTGTAGTACAACTTTAGTACACGGAGTAGCTGGGGAGCTGGAAGATGAGAACTGGCGACTTGGTAGTACAACTCTAGTACGCGGAGTATCTGGGGAGCTGGAAGCTGAGAGCTGGCGACTTTGTAGTACAACTTCAGTACGCGGAGTAGCTGGGGAGCTGGAAGATGAGAACTGGCGACTTTGTAGTACAACTTTAGTACGCGGAGCAAGCCGTGCAGCTGAAAGCTGAGAACTGGTGACTTTGTAGTGCAACTTTACTACGCTGCTGAGTCATCTCTTTTCTGTTTTTTTGCAACGTGCACGAACAACGTTTTTTCTTGCGAGACAGTTGACGGTGGTTGCTTCGCTTTCGCTCCAATGGTCGGGTCCAACTTGGCTTGTCAATGAACATCGCAGCTCGGCGAATCAGCCTGCCACATGCCCATTTCCTATAGGCTTATTCTTTTGGAAACTTCCGCCGCCGGCTTGCCCGGGAACTACTTGTATATACATATTTTTGAAAGAGGTGACGTTCTCAGCTTGTCGGTTCCTGGGTCCACAGGAGGGAGAGTCTACAATCTTGCCACATGTGCCTTCCAGAAATGTGGATTCCACAGTGCAATGCAGGTTTCATCGGCGGTGATGCAGTTTATGACAATGATGGGGGTCTCAGAGATGCTCAAGGAGCCAGTACAGTGAGCGATTGCGTTCAAGCTGTTGTGTTTGGTCGGAGTTGAGATCTTGCGCTTGCAACGTACACTTATTTAGGTGTTCCGCTTTGTGCATTTTCGTCACTCAGGCCACATCCTCACTTCGTTCTGCTCCGGGAGCTCTCAGCGCTGAGATTCCCGTGGGATCGTTTCATGGAGGCCAGGTTCTATGCCTCAAAGAATGTAAATTGCCCAGGAATCGTGGGTAAGAATGGAGAACTTGCATTTTTTTCCGAGAGATTTGTTCTCCTTTCAGATTCACCTCTAACAAAGCGGCCAGCATTGTTTGGTGATTTTGGTGGAGGGAGAACAGACGTAACAATGTTGCAGCAACCACATACACGTGGAGCCATAGATTCAGCTACCACAAAAGCGACATCTTTCTGCTACTTCATTGTTTTCATGAGTTTGAACTGGTGCGGCCTAGAATACAAGTTTCAGCGACGCTTCCAGGAACATGGCAGCTGTATTTTGTCCTCAAAGGACCTGTGTGCTGTTGTTTGACGACTTGAATCTGCGAACATGGTGCTATTTTTTCTGTTGTTTACACCCTAACCTCCAGAATGTGTGCCTCGAGGGATTGAACTCTTGCAAGGATCCTGAATATCTGCAATTCCTCATCTCCCTTGGTAGCTTTGAAGTGGGTTCAAAGGCTCCACGCGTCGATGTATTTGATCAATCATCAGCGGCTCTCTTGGACCGTTGTCGACAGTGCTGGCAGCCAGGTGTACCGTGTTGTGGAGCAGACCTGCAAATTGCTTTGATCTCAGCCCCTAGTAGCGTCCTTGCTCCTAGTAGCGATGCCCCTTTGTTCCTAGTAGCGTCCTTGCTCCTAGTAGTAAGGCCAGGAGCCCCTGGCCCTAGTAGCGTCCTTGTTGTGCTTCTTCAGAATTGGGAAGTATGGTTTGCCCAGCGGTTTGCCAAGATCGGCGTTTGTCAAGACCCTCAATAGTTGTCTTCGGAGGAGCAACATGCCAACAAGCTGCCATGTGCGACTGAGAAAGGTACCACTCGATGGCCAGCAGCATGTTTAACAGCACAACGCTGGTCCCGACTCAAGATCTTCCTGAAGACCAGGCCATACACATATTCTTGGGCCCATTTGCTGCATGTGGGTAAACCTCTGGAAGAGGAATTTGCTTAGCATGATGTTGGCGAGACAATAGAACATTAATGGCTAATGCCTTCCTGTACTCACGACACACAGCAAAGATTCTTGAGCAAGCTATGACCACATTCTGGTTTATTCGAAGATCTCGCAATGCTGCACCAAGAGTCTCCTGGCAGGCATGCGAAGCCCGGGAAGCCTGTGAAGCCCCGATGATGGGGAGCATCGAGGCTCAGGCACTCTGCTACTAAGTTTACAGTGAGTTTGGTGAATCTCAGGGCCAGGAGCCCTAGTAGCGTCTTTGCTCCTAGTAGCGATGCACCTTGCTACTAGTAGCTTCTTGTTAGTTTTGTGCCAGGTACCAGAAGAGGTCCGAGCCTCGGTCTTGTCCCTAATCGTCTGCAGAGTCCAGGCCCATTTTTGTGAACGGCATAGCCTGCCTCTCGTGTACTGTGGCAGTCTCCAAGCTTTTATCCTGAGGTGCCTCAAACAGGGCCGGCTGAGTAGGGGCCTCGTCTGAGAATAGATAGTGTGAATCCAACAACTCAATGCGAAGTAACCAAATGAATAGGGTGAGTGTGAGCTATCCTGCATCCAGTTACTAGTAGCATCCAGTACCAAATAGCTACTGGCTACCTAGCTACCTCTTCTATAGTGGCCGGCCTACAACACCTCAAAAAGAACTAAAAAACATAGACAAAACAATCAATGCAAAGTGATAATCCTTTTGGGCTCAGCCAACACGCAGGGTTCACCGGCGCTCACACCCCAGGTCTGAGAGCTCCAGCTCCAGCTCCAAGGCCACGGAGATGGTCCACCAATGGGTCGTAGTAGCTTCTTGCTACTAGTAGTAATGCTAGGAGCTACTAGTAGCTTCTTGTTACTAGTAGTAAGCTGCCTTGATACTAGTAGCATGGGACACTAAGAAGCAATGTCACGCCATGTCAAAGCGTTAGCAATGTTTTAGAGTATTCGTGATTCAGCTGTCGTGTCTTTGCCTTGACTAAGGCGCTGCTTACTACTTGCTAGTGGCATACAAAGACTATGTACAGTCTTACTGCAACTTCAAACTGTCACGATTTCTCCGGGTTGGCTTGCACTCCAGCTTCGGAGGCCACGACAATGGCGCGAGCCAAGGAGTTGGCAAGGAGAGATGGCTTCCCACAAATTGCTATGCGACAAGACATTATGCATATACATATTAGCAACATAGCTGCTTACTACGAGCCGTTGGAAAGGGCTGCATTTGCTCCATTTTGTACAGCTTCTTAGATCTCAGTGTAGGTCAGACAAGAACAATGCAAATCTAGGAAAAGAGTTAAATGCACTTGTTTGCGAGTGCACAATGTAGCCTTGTAGTCTCCGTTATGTCGCAGAGGCTTGCTAGTGAGAAGAAGATTGATGCGAAGAAGGTCCAAGATTTTCTGTGAGTTTCTCACATACTCAAACAGGCACTGAACAACTCCCGCCTTCTAACATGGCATTGCAATGTCTTGGGAAGTTTTCCTCACTGTTTTGTGTGATGCAATACTATGATTTCCTTGGGGGTGCTGCAGGTTATGGCACTGTTGATTTGCCGGGGCATGTACTGCTGGAATCCCCTCAAGGCGCTCCGGGATTTCTGCTCTTTTGAGGCCCTGATAGTCGACAGGCTGTTGAATGTTCACAGGGGAACGTCTTGAGAACCACGGCCTGAAGCTAACCAGAGAATAATCATGCAAGGTTGCCGTGTTCTCTTGTTGTTGCATCGTCAAACTACAATGATGCATTCCATTGCAAGTGCCACGACAAGGCTTACGCTGATGATGCTGACTCTGATGGGAAGGATGCCGATCTTTGGGAGAAGTGGGTAGTTAAGACCACTCAAGAAGCTGGCTTTGGTTATTTAACTATTCAGAAGGTGGATCATTGTATCAAGAAGTGTGTTTTCCAGCCTAGTTGTGGGAACACACCAATGGTCCACAGAACGCGATGAAACAGGTGGATTGTGGGTATCACACATTGACACAGGAAGATCGAAGACACTTTGAGCCCTGGTGTGGTGAGGATTCTCGAGTTTGGTCGCAGATCGAAAGCGTGTTGTCTAGCCCTCAGTGAGCTGCTCAAACAGTAGAAGACATAGAATCTATGTCATAGATTGTCATAGATGGAGAGAACTAAACATCATGTAGAGTAACACAGTAACTTGTAACTGGATAGTTTTGAAAAGTGTACATGGTGCTGTGACATGAGACCTAAACACATTTTGCTTCTGATGCCCCTTAGCGTAGGTGGTCCAATGAACCTTCATACAAACGATTGAATTAGAAATGAACGCTTCCAAGACTGTCAACATGCCCAGGAACTTTTTGGACGCCAAAGACGAAGTCCCACAGGCGTCGCCAGTTCAGTAATGGACGCCCTTTCCAAAAACACATGAAAGTGCATGTCGGTCAGATTTTGCTAGTCAGTTCGATCCTCAAGCTGTAGTTCAAGCTGCTTTCAGCATTTTGGAGGTGGTTCGGATATTATTGATTCGGACAGTTCCATGACGAATTGTCTGTCACAATTTCTCTTACCAGTTCATGGGAGTGGATTGGGCACGTTCAGATTCTGGCAAATTCCTTGATGTTGTTTTGTATCGGGGACAAGAAGAAGGGGAGCAATCCAAAATAAGGTTTTATGCTGATGAGCAAACAAAGCTTGGACTTTGATTGGCCCGTTGGATCCTCTAACCCGCACCTCCGCTGTGTGTCACTGATAATGAATGCTTGACGCCATGGATTCCCTCCAAGCCTTCAGTTGCGCGTGAACCATGCTTTAGAACGTCATGACTCATGGCACTTTTGGATTTGTGCGTGCATGACTAAAGGAACGATTTCCACTCCTGTTACTGTACTCCTTCTTCAATATTTCATGACCCAACGGTACCTTTTTCACTAAGTCACTAGCAAAGGTTGTGTTGAAGCCGTGAGCAGCGATTTGGGTGCACTTGCACTTCACTTCATCTCCCCATGATTGGGTCGACGCCCGGGTGAGGGTTAGTTTCGTGGCGCCCGAAGATTTCACATCCTTTTGTGTACTTGTGAATGCTTTTATGACCGCTTTAGCGGTCAGGACCAGTGGCAAATCTTCTTGACTGTGCTTCGCCGACTCTTTCCGATTCTCTCTTTGATGCTCCACTTTGGCATTTTCTTTTATTATGTTTTTTTCTCTTCCCGTTCCTTTGTTTGCTGATTTTGCTGCAACTCTTCCTGCAGCTCAACCCAACTTTTCTTCCAAGCATCACAGCAGGAAGGCTGCTTGGAGGCGATTGGAGTTCTCGTGGTGGATTCTCTTGGACGGCGGTCCTATTCCGTCATCCTCCACCTTCAGGCTTTTGATTCTTCCTTGGTTTTTCGACAAGGTACCAGGCAGCACGCTTCTAGTCATGCCCGTCCACTGTCCACTGATTCATCGCACTGAACAATGGAAGGGCCAGAGTACGAGAAATCTCGTTCCAATCAGAACTGGGAGAAGAATCCTTCACTCTTCGTTATCAGATTTGAGCAAGTTTTGATTGGATTGCAAAAGTTGCAGGTGCATGAGGTTGATAATGATAGGTGGCGCAACCACAACTCTTACGTAGCAGACAGAATCATCAACATCAGCCGGATTGAAAAGAACACTTGAACAATTTGTTGTAGACTTTGAAAAGCGCAGTTTTCAATTAGCCATCCTGGTTTCCAGACACAGAAAGGATAACCATCTCCTTTCCTGGTGCAACTTGGCTATGATAGTAGTGGGCAAGTCAGTACTGTATTTACGTGGGCTCAAACTGATCAGTGACATTGTAGAAGCAGCGGAAGATGCCGAAGAACTCCACTGGCGCTAGTGCTGTTGATTCCTATTCCTTTCCAAGTTGATCTTTGGGTGATGTTCTTAGAATGGTTAAGTTGGAAGAAGCCTGTCAGCACAGGTGTTACGGGCATTTTGGCTGCTATTGGCAGCTTCTTATGCTTGCGACATATTCAATGGGCAGATCCAGTAGCAATTCTTCAATTAGAACATTTCCCGCCACCCACTGAAGTTTTAGAAATTTTGATCCGAATTGATCCAGACAGTGTACTGTAGACTGTTTGTCAGCGATGGAATTCTTATTATATAGACACCTCTGCGTGAACATGTTTTTTGTGCACAGGTGCCAGGTCGAGACCTCAGACTGTAGCGATGCCCTTGTTACTAGTAGTTTCTTGTTCCTAGTAGTAATGCCCTTGTTAGGAGAGAGGAACTACTAGTAATGCACTGTGCTACTAGTACCTTCTTGTTCCTGGCAAATCTGTGTTGGTTTTTGATGACAATGTTTGTTTGCGAGGTTGGCCGCAGCCACCAATGATACCACTGCCCCCGCCACCCACACACCCCCCACCTCAAGTTCAGGGTCCTTTGGCAGCGCCGCCGCACTTGCCACAGGGAGTGCCACCCCCACCGCCGGTGCCCCCACCACCGCCACCAATACTTCCAGCCAACCCTGTGTGGATTCCACAGCAGGGACAACCGCAAGAAACTTGACAACATTTTAGATGAATTTTCAAGCTGCTTTAATTCATGTTTGTGCCATTCAATTGCAAATCTTGTGAAGCTGGGTTGGAGTCCTTTCGCAGCTTCCATGTACCTCCAAGGTACACACATTAGCACAGCTGCAGTCTTTGCTGCAATACCAGCAAATCTACCAGGCATCACCTTGGCAGCAGCAACAGGCAGTGATGTGATTGGTCTTGAATTCCATGATTCTGTTGTGAATCATTCTGTGGTATTGGATCTTTTTGGAGGTATTTGCTTTATATAAATCTGGGCTTGGAGTTATCCTGTGGACAATATGAACTCATGAACTCCTGCACAGATGGTGATCCACATCGTTTGCCTGACCCAGCGAGCAGAAGAGCACGTCTTCGACAAGAAGATCGAGGCTCGACGATGTGGAGCTGTAAGTGTAAGTGTTTGTTTGCTCCAAGCAGCTTGTTTATTGGTCGCGTCCGTTGTTCACACCGTGGGCTGTGTGCATGCTTTGTGCGGGCTGTGTTTGTTGAGCTTGGTTGAACTTGCCAGTCTGTGTCTTCGCGGTGTCTGGGCGTATGCCTGGTTGCACTTCTTGAGTTCTCTATGCTGGGCTCGTGGCTGCGCATGTGGATCTGCTCTGTGACCAGGCTGCGTGCCACAAGTTTGGTCACACTTTTTGCTGTGATTGGGGCGAGTCTGGAAATGTCTCACTTGTTCCGTCTGTGTTGGCAGTGTGTTTGGCTGTAAGGAAGAATCGGGGCAAGTCCGTTGGAGTGTAGAGTCCACAAGGGGCCAATACATTGATACCTAGTGCTGGATTAATCCCACTTTGCTTCACTTGCGGCATGTTTTCCAACCACGTTTTGATGTTCTACCAGGACGCTTGGAAGGATGGAACCTCAATAGAATGCAAACTAGTCATCAAATATCAGAGCTGGATCCAAATCACGCATCAGGTCATTTTTTGTTTTGCATGGGCGGGTCTATGTGTGACCAGAGGAGATACAAAAAAGTTAATAGAACTTCACAAACGTGCGCCTGAAACTCCTGAAACCTGTTTGTCTTTCCCGTTTTGGCAGAACATCCTAGTATGCTTAGCCTGCGACCAGTTCTTTTGGCGCGGCATTTTGGACCGTGTTCTTCCGCTGGATGAAGGGTCAGAGGCTCAAGAACTGGCTGCTGAAAGAGTCGTCTTCTTTTGGATTCAGATCTGCGTCAGACTGAGGAATGTGGACTACCACCAGTAGCTGACGCAGAGAGAAGACGGGGTCGAGCGCAAGGGGTTGGGGCGAGATCGAAAGTGAGGGGTCCAAGAGAAAGTCTTTGCTCCTAGTAGCAAGGACGCTACTAGTAGCTATTTGCTCCTAGTAGTATGGCCAGGAGCCCCTAGTAGCGTCCTTGCTCCTAGTAGCGATGCCCTTTGCTCCTAGTAGCAAGGACACTAGAGTCTAGGTGTTTTCAAAAGGCTGAGGAGAGGTGTTTCTCAGTGCCCCAACCCTGTAGAGCCGTGGGCGTCAGTGGCAAAGGCCATCGACAGTGCACAGTGCCAGCTAGCCCGACGACCACAGCAGATTTGGAAAAGTGGCAACCGCTGGGAAGACATTGATGCAACTCCTGTAACTACTCAGCTGGTTCAACATCTTGCTGTCAATTTTTTTCTCTGCTTTAAGCTGAAGAGGGTGCTTCTTCTTCAAGCTGCGCACACATTAATAAGCCAAGAAGACTGGGCTGGTGTTATTTTGAGGACTTCAGTCCTTCGCCTTTTGGTTGCTGCATTTTTTTGAGTCAAAGAGGTGGCAACAATGAAGCTTGGTGATGGGTGATGGAGGGGAACGGTCGCTTCACCGTCTCAACCCAACCTTCTCTGGTTTGAAGGGACTATGGATGCAGACATTGGGATTGGAATTGGAGTCAATATCCCCACCAGGCACAATCAAGCTAATCGATAAACTTTCAGACTGCCTTGCAAGCAAGCGCTATGGAAGGATGTCCCATTCCGAGCTTGATCAGATCTTGACGGAGCGCGTAAATTTGGTCAATTGTTTTAAATGACATGTGGCTATCCGGCTACTGTATCCCATGAAACCATCCACATGTCAAACCTTGGACGTTTTCATAACCTTTTTGCTTGAAAGCGCGACATGTGCAGTAGAGAGATAGAGAGAGAGAGAGAGAGAGAGAAAGAGAGAGAGAGAGAGAGAGAGAGGGAGGGGGGGAGACTCACCATCATGTGATTATGTAGAGGAATTTTGGCCTAGCTTTCCAGGAGACTCGACATGAAGCTGTACTCAAGACCTTAGAGGTGCTGTGCCGAGCAAATCTTATCCCAAGGAAGTGACTTTTTGCCACCACAAGGACTCATGTATGATTTGAGTGTCAGGCTGCGAGGAAAACATTATGCCATAGCATAGATCCCAGATAGCACAAGAATGGCCTGCGGCACCAGCACCCAGGCTCCAAAGCGTACACCGCCACAGACATTTGGCAACAACACCCTCGCTGCCACCTTGCCAAAGCCATGCACATCTGACAGCGGCACCTTGTAGCGACCAATACCCAGGGTCCAAAGCGCACATGAACCTGTTCTTGTACTTAAAAAAAATGAATGCCAATAGCTTTCGCTATTTGGAGAACAAAAGCAGAGAAAAGCAACACGTTTTTGCACAACTATTGTTTTTTGAGGCTTGGAGGAAGGACCCTGGGAAGCCCAAAGAAGGCGTCCAGCAGTTGGAGCGCATGGCCCTAGGCAGGAATTTTATTGGCGTGCTTGCAGAGATGAAGCAGGCAAAAGCGGCAGATAAAATAAGCATATGTACATATAGGATCATATAGTTATATATATATATAGCAGCAGAACAGATGAGGTGATGAACCCATTGTGAGACTGGGTTTTCAAAGCTACCGTACTTGTTTCTCAGTTTTTGACCGTTTTTTGTTTTCTTTTGCATCGTGCACTCTGAGGAGGCCCAACTCCGCAGCATTTCGATCCAACAGCACATCCGGCTGGGAGTGGAGCCAAACACCGAGGAAAGGCGTCGTCGACGACCCAGGTTGTTGTAGTAGTTTCTTGTTCCCAGTAGTAGTGCCCTTTGACCCTTTGCTACTAGTAGCGATGCACTTGCCATTAGTAGCTTCTGGCTACTAGTAGTAATGCCCTTGTTCCTAGTACTGTAAAGGAAACCTTTGCACCTTTGATGTTGCTTCAAAATCCCACCCCAACAGCCTACACCAACAGGTGCCACCCTGCGACAGTGCCACAGCATGGCCTGGCCAAATCATTCAACAACGCAGTGTGTTAAGAAGCCAAGGGTTGCCTAAAATGCCAGTTTGAATCCTTTCGAGCTTCCATGCCTGCCTTTCTCACAAACGGTCGGCAGAAGCTTCATCTCGATATGGTGATCAGGTAGTTCAGAAACCCTCAGTATGTGTTTTGATCAAGACACACAATGCATCACACTATTGTTGTTTTCTTCTTTTTGAACTTCATGCAACCTTTCTTGCTTTGAGGTCCGCCGTGCTGCGAGCTCTCAACGAGTTCAGCCCCCAGCGGAGGCTGGACTGTTTCTTTTGGGTGCCAAGGAAGGGATCACCACGCATGACCAAGCTTGATGTGGGGTTTTCTCTGTTTCTGAAGCTTGGGGGGAGTTGCATTGGGTGAATCTGTTGTGGTTTCTTGGAGACAAGCATTCTGAGCTTGATTGAAAATATACCCTTGCCCTTGTGCGGCTGACACGAGGTCAGAGCTTCTACACTTGTCACGGCCGAAGCCGAGTGGTGATAAAAGCACAGAGCTGGTTGATGCTGGGGAGTAGGGATGCTCATAGCCTATGAATCTATGATCTGCAACATTTGGTAGACCTTCTCGTAAAAAGGACATGTAGAATTGCTTGGAAATAGAGGTTCCCCGATGACGTCAGCAGGTGTGTGAAGGTGTCATTTGGACTTGCTCGCTCTTTGGGAGACTTGGCTCAAAACCTAGCTAGACTCTATATAGCACTGCCTTTTCAACACAGCGGTGCCCTGAGCTTCTACGTGTGCCGGTGTGTCCCAACCTGCGCAGCTGCAAGCACTTATTCGGGAGCCTTCAATTAGCTGCCTTCAGTCGCTGCTTTCAGTCTCCTTCAGTCTGTTGCAACAGTCTGAGCATGTGAGGCAAGCTCAAAAGCGTTATGCTGATCAAGCTGAGTGCTAAGCTTGCGAGTCGATCTAGCCAAGTTGAAAGATGAAGCAGTTTGTCCCTGATTCGCAAGGACTTTGTACTTTGCATACATGTTTGCGCTATTATGTCCGAATCTATCCTTCATTCCTTTTGCCTTGGCCACTTAAAGGCCTGAAATTCAAGCCATGGAGAGTTCTCCAGATCTTTGGTTCATGCATTGTGTCAGTTTTCTTTCCATTGGTGGAATGACTTGAGGCTTTTGGTAGGCCTGTTTTCCTGCAGCCTCGCATCAGAGGCATGAACAGTGCATCTATTTTTGAAAGGGGGTTTGTCCAGAGCCAGTCAAAATCGAAAGCTCATGGTGAGGCGGTTTTATTCTGCATTTGGGCGCTGTAAATTCTGGTCAGGTTGACCCCGTCCTCGTGAGAGATGCTGGTCTGACATGTCTTGGCAGGGGAAGAGCAAGGCAAGATATTTATTTAGATCCACCCAGATTATGGATGTCCCATTTTGGGAGGATGTGCATCCAATCGGATTCTCAGACTGAAGTGATTCGGGCGGGACATACATGACTTGTGACAACACACTTCTATTTCCAGCAGATAGACATGTGAGACCCACACACACACACAGATCACAATCCCATCAGGAGGGCACAATATGCAGCTGACACAAACCTCTCGATATGGCAGGATGAATGCGCAGTGGGTGATGAAAAATGCTCTTTGCAGGCAAGGAGCTTCAGAGAGATGAACCGCTTTATATACTGGGTGTGAACGTAGGGTTTGATTGACATAGATTGACATGTTCGTGATCCTTTTTATATGAGCCCAGTTGAGCAAATGCTGTAGAACATCTGGGCAAGACCACCTTTACATTCAAAGAACAAACACATGAGCTATTGGATCTCTTGGTTGACTGTCCATTTTGGGAGGCGCTTCAGCTGAAAGGCATGAAGTTGGCGACCTTGGAGCAGGAGGATATGCTGATGCAAGCGGTTGATATTGTTGGGAAGGTGGCCTCTTCCAACCTAATAGCGATTGCCTCCACCCTAGTAGCGGCCTCTTCCAACATGTCCAAAGAAAGAGCCCAACGAGCCAGAGGGATCGAGAGCTGGCCGCCTTGTGGCCGGTGTTTTTGATGTTTGAACTTTAGTGTCATAGGTTTTATGGCAAAATTGAAGGTTGGCACCATGCTCATTTAGTTGTATTTTTTTTGATATATATATATATATTTAATTATCAACTTCCCTTTTACCTTTCATCACGAGCTGTTCCTGTTCTTAAGCGGCTTTTTTGTATTTCCTGCCTAGCTCCTGAGACTAATACGAGATGCAAGAGGATTGAGTGGCACTATAACATTTATCAACACATTTTGATACCAAGAGCTCTTGAATTGGGCACTACCGTCACTCCCTACTTCAAGAGTGGCTCATACCTTCTTGGCTCGATTGTGTATCCTGCAATTAGTTTCGAACATTAGATCTTCTCACTATCAAGATCAAACCATTTACATTGACAGAGCAATATTTCTTAAACAATGATCTTTCCAAAGTTGTGACCCTCACCAAGGAGGAACCTTTCATGCACAATAGAGTTGTCTTTAATGAATAGATATAGGGAAGATGCTTTTTGGAATAGTGATACTTAACATTTCCTGGTATATGGACAGGAGAGCATTAAATTGTTGTAGAGTAGGCTTTTGGATAAGGTAGGATAGTAATATGATGTAGATTCTATAATGTATCAAGGACGGGTAGGTCCTTGTGAAGGCACCCTAAACAATGACTTGAGATACAGCGGGACACTCTCGTAAAGAAACATGTTCCTAACGGAAGGATACATACCTGTACAGAGACTCACCCTTAATGTTGTTTCATATTATTTCATACCAAGCTGGATTGGTTTATCTACGGACTCGGTTCAAAGAAACCATTTCAGACAGGATGAGGCTTTCATAGAAGAGTGGTTTTGAGAAATATGAAGCCTGAAGGAGAAGACCTTTCAACTAAAGGGATTTCGTTACAGTGTTTCAGAAAATGGAATCCGTCAGCAAGAAACTCTACTGAAGGAGGAGGCTTGCCCTTTAGAATCCACGACGCCCAAGTCGTGGTTGCGGTTCACGGGTTACCATTGTCGAGGCTCCCCCGGGAGATAACCCTTCATTTCCTTTGCAAGAAAGACGCCACATATGCTTTAAGGAAACTAATAGCGTCATAGCGATGGCCTCCACCCTAATAGCGATGGCCTCCAACCTAATGGCTCATAATCCTAGTAGCTTTTTGTTGTTGGTTTATTTATGTTCTTTCATTCCCTTTGCAGGAGTGCACTGGCTCTGCGAACCTCCCAACGGATTCTGACCTGTGCTACGAGGGAAATCTCCTCGTGGAGACTTTTAAAGTCCAAGTGCTGCAGTCCACCGGCACCAGCGGTTCCCTGGACATGGAGGCGTTTTTACACAAGATTGAGAAGAGAGAAAAACAACGTCAGTGTAGTTGAGCCCTTTGGTAACGGCCCCTTGAAGGGGCCTTATTGAAAGGGGGCAAGTCCACCACCATTTTTCCTTCTCTTATCAATTTGTTTGCGCTTGCATTTTGTCAAACATTTAATCATGTCATGGTGGACTGTGTGAAGCACACTGTGCTCGCTTGCTGCTTACAGGCCGTTGGACCTTTGTCCGGAAAATGCGAAGGAGTTAGCTTTCAAATGGAAGCCACGCAATTGTCCGCGAGCAACCTCGACAGCTGTGGTATCAACGGCGCTGAGTACAACGTGCTTTGGCCGGACGAGTATTCCATGCTGAACAACTGTTATTCTTTGATCACCAGCTCTTTTTTCTTCACATGATCAAGGCATAATTGTACAACTCAGCTCTTCCTTCTTTCGTTTTTTCTTTGTTTCTTTGTTTCTTTCTTTCTTGTTAATCGCTTGCACGATGAACTGGCGAGGCTAAAATTTGTATGGTGCAAAGAACATGGAAAGAACGAAATACAGAAAGAAATAATCAGAAAGAAAGCACACAATAAAGAAAGTATGGCCCACCAAGGTGATCACATGTGGGAGGAACAAGAAAAATCAAGCAGAAGGCAAAGAGAAATGAGGAGAAGACAAGAAGGAAGGAGAAACAAGGCAGCAAGGTGAGCAACGAGAGACCAGCAGGCTAAAGAGGTAGCAAGCAAGCAAACCGCCAAGCCAGCATGCAGGAGCAAGGAAGGAAGTGAGTCATTTGCAGGTTCACCAGCTACGCAGCTACCCCCAAAAATGTCGCGGTCTATATGCAGTTTGGAATCATATTTTTGTTTGTCCTGCTTCACTTAACCAGCCTGAAGTGGCAATGTTGACTTTTGCACAGAAGTGGTGAGTGAAACCTACACTGAGCTTCGTTACTGTAGGTGAAATACTGTTCGGACCAGGATGAGTTCGTGGTGCAGGTGCGGAATCAACTAGCCACTTTGCATGAGATACAGCATTCGCGTCATTGTACTTTCAAGATTGATGCGTTTTCCTTCTTCTTGGCTCCTTGCTCCTCTCTCTCTCTCTCTCTTTGTTGCAGCACAGCTGTTTGTTCTTGCCAACTTGCCTGGCAGATCACCAAGCCCATGCAGCTCGATGTGACTCTGAAGCGCACCAGCTGCACAGGGATGTTTGGTGTAACACCTCCAAGCCTGGTGTCCGCACCTGTGGTGCCTCTGAAGCCGAGCCTTTTGGCCACGGGGACAGAGTGCACTGGCACCGGCAAGCTTCCAACCACCAAGAAGTGCTACGAGGGGAATCTTTTGGTGGAGACCTTCAAAGTTGAGCTGTTGGAGTCAGACGGCACGAGCGGTTCACTGGACATGGAGGTGCTTTTGGCAGTCAATTGCATTTTGTCACTTCATGTTGAATCATAGTGACTGACGTAGTGTCCTGTGCACAGGCCATTGGTCCTTTGTCCGGAAAGTGCGAAGGAGTGAGCTTCCAAATGGATGGAATGCAATTGTCCGCGAGCAACCTTGCCAGCTGTGGTATTACCGGAGCGGAGTACGACGTGCTTTGGCTAAGAGAATCCAATTTCCAAAGTTTGCTTGCTTGCAGCGAAAGATGTATGACGACTGGCTTTTGTAGGTGAAGTACTGTTCGGACCAGGATGAGTTTGTCGTGCAGGCGCGGCACTAAAATAACATCTTGTAAAATCAAAGTTTCCACAACACACCCTTTTTGCCTTTCTTCTTTTTTCCGGGGCTTTTCTCCATTGCCGTGTTGCAGATCACCAAGCCCATGCAGCTCGACGTGGTTCTGCAATCCCACGCTTGTGCGGCAAGCCTGGCAGCTGTAACGCCACCAGTTGTGGCCATTCCACCTGCAGCCCTGGTGGCGCAGGAAGAACAGCGTTTTTGTTCAGGTGCTGGTAGCCTGCCGAAGGGCACCAGTTGCTGCTTGGCTTTCGCGCCACAAGTTCATGTAACCATTTGATACATTTGGTAACCTAAAGGCAAAATGCCCGCCGACACGTCTCAATCTGATAGGCGGCCGGAAAGTCGAATTTTGAGTCCGACATGTTGCATTATCTTGTTACTAGTAGTATGGCCAGGAGCTACTAGTAGCGTCTTGCTCCTAGTAGCGATGCCCTTTGTTCCTAGTGGCTTCTTGCTACTTGCTATATTTGCTGGGTTTAATAGCCTTTGCATTTACTAGGTGTCATCATTACAATTTGATCGTAATCCATCATTGCAATGTTGTCAGAAACAAAGAAACCAAGCACAACATGTAGAAGTCTGTTGTGCAATCTCTGCACTCTATAGAATTGCTGAGGCTACAGAGGCAGCTGGTTGGTGGAAGACTTCTATGTGAAGGTCAAAAGCTACAGCTCCACCTCCGGCCGAGTGGACGTGACAGCTGCTTGGGCGAAAGGGAGAAGCGGAGCGAGGGATCAGAGGAGAGGCCTTAGGCCTTTGCCACATTCCGGTTTGTGACTTTGTGTCCTTTGCTTGATTTTTTTGTTTGTTTGTGTGTTTGATTGTTTGTTTGTTTGGTGGGTTGCTGGCTGTTTGGCTGTCATTTGGCCATCTCGCTGTGTAGCTGGCTACAGAGTTCTGTGCTGAACATAGACTCAGAGTTAACGTATTTACCAGTAGCCGCCTCCAAGTGCCGTGAAGAGAAAAGATACTGCTGAGCTTTGAACGTTCTTAGTTTTGTAGCTCTACGGTAGCCTTCCTGAACACCTTGAAGTCCAAAGCGTGCCATAAACTGAGCGAGGTAAGTCGTGTGAAGCTGCATGATTCCTGGGTTCCTCAGCCAAGCTGAGGCGAGCGGGCCCAAGAAAGGCCATTGTTATGGTGTAAGCTACAGGAAGTCTGGGCAGAACATCTACTTGAACCTTGGCGGCCTTGGCTTGAGATGAGGGACACGCATCCATTTGGCTTTGTGTTCGATGCACATGCTGGACATTTTTGTGTGATTCGACACGACGGTAAAGACCATCCCTCAGGAACTACGCCAAATGTGGCTTCAACAACTTGAGCTTCAGCGTGCCTTGGTGGAAGTGACTGGGGATTATAGTAGGAAACAATGGCTGTTTTTGCCGCTGGGTTGCGATGGAGAACAAAAGCTATGCTGCCCTGTCAAATGAGATGGTTGATGTTTCATCAAAACATTCATCAACTTCTCTTCTTTTGCTCTCGCAACATCCATGTCTTTCTGGACAGGTCCAGTACTGCTCCAACCAAAATGCTGTTAAAGTGCACATCTCTGCACCGGTGATCGGCGATGTGATGCTGAGCCGCTCTGGCTGCTAGAGCCCCGCGCGAAAGCCGCGGCTTGAGAGAGGAGTGTGTCTTAGAGGCGGCCGACCCCCGAAACCACCCTTTTCGTAGGACGCTACTAGGAGCAAAGGGCATCGCTACTAGGAGCAAGGACGCTACGAACGGGGCTCCTGGCCTTACTACTAGGAACAAGAAGCTACTAGTTTATTGTTTCTACTAGCTTCTTGTTACTACTAGTAAGGCACTTGTTACTACTATCGATGCACTTGTTACTACTTAGGTCTTACCCTTTTCGTATCGAAGACAAAGAAGGGTCTTTTGCTGAGGGGGTCGCTCCACGGTCGACACCCACTTCAGAGAGCTGATTCTCAGAGAGATCAGTGACAGACATTCATCACGCTGGAGACTCTGCAAAACAAAGCTCAAGGGATCATACAGTGGCAAATGGTAAAGTTTCAAGAACGCTTATTTGATGAGTAAATGGAGCTTGTGTATAACTGCAAACTATAAGTTGCGATATTGTTTGCCATCACTTGATGATGCCATGTGCTTCTTGGTGGATTTGGCTTCAAGCTGAGAAGCTGAAGATGACATGACCAACGGAGTTTTTGAAGCATTTTTCCTCGCAGGCAGGACATGTATGTCAATGATTGTCAATGCAGGAAATGTGACTCGATAAGACTGCCTGTAAGTGAGAACCAATTTGGCAGTGAGTAGCTGTTCTGGGCACCTAGTTCCAGGGACGTCTCAAACGAACTCAAATCTGAGGAAATCTGCTGAAAACAAACCCAAGCTTAAATTGCTTTCAGTTTGCTGAGCGAACTGGAACTTTTGGCCATGGTGGCTTTACCTGGGAATGTGCAGAATGCCCGGTGCTTCCGGGTGCTTCGGCACAGTTGGGCACTGCTCGGCATTTTCGGAGCGGGCTGGGTCCGCTGGGCCTTCTGCGGGTCGCTGGGGGCCTTGTGCAGCTCACAGGGTGGGCCACGCAGGGCGCTGCATGCGAAGAAGTCCAGCCCCTTGGTGTGGAGTCCGTGGATCTTGGGGAGGCAAGCATCGACCAAGAGCCAACCAAGTATGAACAAGTAGTGACATATGGTCCAAGGCCCTCAGGACTCAGGACTTACTGAGCCGCATGTGGGAGTGTTTAGAAGGCATCTTTGTTTGTGACCTGTGGCTGGATGGAATATGAGGCTAAGCAGATGGTTATCATAGATGGAAGATTGGAGTATGAGCACGTGGCCATGTATTGACACAACACCTTCATGACAATTCATTGGCCATTTTTCCCGTGGCCCCTTGAGGTGAGGCGTCTCTACCAGATTCAGGTGTGGATGCGAGACCGTCTGAAAGGAAGCAGCGGTTGGTTGAAGCTCCCAAGTAAGTGAAACAAGCGTGAAACAAGTATATAGGCGTTGGGGAGATATGTTGAGTGTGGAGCTGTGCTTTCGCCGTTCTCGGGCTTCCGCCAGATGTTTGGGAGTTGCGGAGAGATCAGAGCTTCCGGCCTGTTTGAGGGTTTCGTTCCAGTCTGAGTGGTATATAATTGGAGATGTGAATTGGATTGAATTGGCTGCCTTCACATGCAACTCTGGTGATGCAAAAGAACCATCCCCGTGGCAGGATGATTCTTCCTGCTACGAGAGTGACGAGTGCTGAAGGCAAAGCAGCAAGCTTCCCAGCACCGCAGAAGCGCAAGCACCTGCTAGCTGCTGGTTTAGGTGGTGCAATCAGTGAACTTAACAGCGATGGCCTCCAACCTAGAAGCAATGGCCTCCTCCCTAGTAGCGCAACCGCTTGTTTTGGGGCTTTGTCATCAATTTGATCAGAACTTTTTGGGTCACCACATTCTGCACATCCAACATTGAGCTCCAACCGTAACCTCCCTCACGGGGCTCAGGGCAGCGGCTTTGTCCTCTCAGACTCCTCGAATGGAACATATGCCTGAACCTGTGTGCAGGGCTGATGCTCGAAGGGCGCAAACGGAGAGGGTCATATGGATACTGTACTGTAACTGCAAGAAGGTAGATACAAGAGTCGGTTGGCATGACTTGCTGTGTTTCTACTTCAGCATCATTAAGATCATGTTCATTGTGCTTTTACAGCATGGGATTTGCCCTCGAGCTTTATCTATATACCTCTCTGCGGGGCAGCCACAATTGGCAAGGGTGGGCATCAGCAGTTTTTGTAGCTTTCCGCTCTTGTTCCGATCTTTTGTGCACCAAAACGACCTCGTTTGACAGAGCCGAGCTCGAAAGAAATGTAACATATGTCACCTATCCTGGATTGGGCAGAAACCGAAAGCAGCTTTACCCTTTTGACCAGTGAGGTTCTGACCTGCCATCACCTAGTCAGAGATTGCATCAGACAGAGTGATCGCTGGGAGCTCATTTCCGAGACCCTCCGCATCGAAGGCACCCCTCTCGTTGTGACTGGGCACCATCCAGCAGGCTTTGGAGGATCTTTTTTGCCTTCTCCCTCAAACTCCAGGAGCCTAGGTCTCTGCTCTGTACCACCTACAGCTAAATTTCGCTACCTAGCTTAACTCAGCTTGATTCAGCTTGCTTAGCCTACCTCCCGTTCTTCACGGCCAAAAGAGGGAAAACCAACGAGATCCTTCGAGGCTGGGATCCTTCAGAGAAGTCCTCCAAGAAGGTGGAGCAGCTCCTGCCATGCACTGTTGAGACCTTCCGCTACGACCCGCCAGCCAGCCCAGGGACAAGACTGCAAAATGGACGTGCTTTTAAAGTACAATGAAACTTGACAGTATGGAATTGGAACTCCATTAAAGTTTCTTTGGGCACCCAAAGTGTTTTGCCTTTGCTTTCCTACCAACAACTTTTAAAGTTATATTATATAATCGAAATTTTAGGAAATTTTCAAGTAGTGATCTCTGGGGATTCCCAGAAGAAACTCTCCGAGTCATTTTATACATTCAGATTTGAGTGACAAATGGTGCTGCGAGCAGATGTCCAGATATTCAGGAATGGGCGGCATTTGCAAACTGTTTGGAGCCGAGAGTGACACTCATGATTAGGGCAATAGTGTCGGTTCGAATTATGGGCCTTTGGTGGGCGACAGTCGACTGTCTTTGCCTGTTGCAACTATTGGGTTGGAGTTCAGACTGCATGGTGAGACAACTGGCTTTCTGCTAACTTGATTGGTAGCAGCTCAAAACTAGGTCGCCTCCAAGAAGGACCGCTGCAAAAAATGTTTGAACACTTGTCTCATAGCTTCCTACCAAGCCCGAAACACCCTGACCATTTGGTGGGAAGCTTGCCACGGAGTTAGTTCCCCTATCGCACTGATGAAGTAGAAGTAGATTTTGATCCTTGAGGTGAAAACCTCTGCAGAAATCGTGGCCTACTGTTTATACGGGGATGAATGGACCTTTGAGGCAGGCGGAGGAGCCAAGCGAAATTGGCTGGCTTCGGGTGTACAAATGCATAGGTTCAGAATCCAGTCGTGGAGTAGGTTCCCCATTATTTTTTGATGTGTGCCGTCGCAGAGCTCTACTCTTGTTTGCCTCCAGTGTCCATCCAGTTCAATCTTCGTCCACAACTATCCTGCCATCACCCTGGGCATCCTTGCTTTTGCCATCATGGGGCTTGAGCCCGAAAGGAGCCAAATCGATCAAGCTTGAGCTCTTCTGCCCTTGTCTAGTAGCTTCCGATTGCTTCTATTCTGATGGAGAAAATCAAACAAGTCCTTCGGTCCGTTCCCAGTCGGTTCAGGGAGACCTGGCGCTGTTGAAGCTGAAGGCGCCCGTGGAGATCCCTGCAGTGCATCTCATCTCGGAAGAGGACTTCCTCAAGGAGGTGCCCAAAAAGAGCACAGGATGAATGGAAGGAGGTGGAATCGGGCCCCCCTCCTCCTTAGGAGCAAGGATGCTACTAGGGGCTCCTGGTATCGCTACTAGGAACAAGAAGCTACTAGGGGCTCCTGGCCGTACTACTAGGAGCAACGACGCTACTAGGGGCTCCTGACCTTACTACTAGGAGCAAGGACGCTACTAGGGGCTCCTGGCCGTACTACTAGGAGCAACGACGCTACTAGGGGCTCCTGACCTTACTACTAGGAGCAAGGACGCTACTAGGGGCTCCTGGCCGTACTACTAGGAGCAACGACGCTACTAGGGGCTCCTGACCTTACTACTAGGAGCAAGGACGCTACTAGGGGCTCCTGGCCTTACTACTAGGAGCAAGGACGCTACTAGGAGCTCCTGGCCTTGGCCTTACTACTAGGAGCAAGGACGCTACTAGGGGCTCCTGGCCTTACTACTAGGAGCAAGAACGCTACTAGGGGCTCCTGGCCTTACTACTAGGAGCAAGGACGCTACTAGGGGCTCCTGGCCTTACTACTAGGAGCAAGGACGCTACTAGGAGCTCCTGGCCTTACTACTAGGAGCAAGGGCGCTACTAGGGGCTCCTGGCCTTACTACTAGGAGCAAGAATGCTACTAGTAACAAGGATCATGCTCCTTGACCGCCTGTCCAGGTCCGTCCCCTCGATCCGGTCATCATGGTGGGCTGCCCAGATGCGTCAGAGGTGCCCTTTCCCACCACAGGCGCGCTACCGCAGGAAGCCTTTGGGTGTGTCTGGTGTCTCGGAACTGCACGTGTTCCTTCTCATTTCTTGTGCAACAAGAAACATTACTTTTGGACAAAGACTTCAGTCTCTCTTGCCACTTCTGCTGTAGTGTGAGAGAATGTTGTTTCGCTCAGGGCATTCGAATCATGTATATGATGTATACATTCAGGATTCAGGAATTATAAAGGAGTGGCCGCAATTCGCAATCCCTATTGTTTGAAATTACTGGTTACTGGTTCAAAAAGCACCTGGTTCGAGGTAAAGCAAATATACAATGATCACAACATGCTGAGCCGTCAATGAAGGACGGCTTAAGCCAGGATCATTGGACCTGGGTCGCATAATTTCAAAAATACGGGCCAGAGCCCAGTGGGCACTACCGGACCTCACCACAGCACGTGCCAGATTGCAGTGGGCACTAACGGACCTCAACAGCAAGCGCTA